CACGCAGATGTACTTCATCCTCGCTACTTAGTACCTCTGCAATGTTGTGATGGCAATGCTAGCCCAGCAAGTCACAGCCATGGCAGACGTTACTCTGTGTAGAAGCTGCGTCTACATCCATAACGGTTGCCTCGTTCAATCACACACCTTTTGGTACGTACGTACATCCAGAATGTACTCTGTCTGGACGTCGTGTGAAAATATTGTTCCCGAGGCTGTGAAGATCCGTCTGTGCCATACAAAAACTAGATTTCGCTCATCCACATTATTTACCGACACGGCGGAGAGCAAGAGGATGATAATCCGCAACAGGATCACCGACGTGATGCCTGCAGCTGCACGTCTTCGTCCTACAGCGTTTCCTAGGGCAGGCTCTTTTCTTGCTATAAGTAGTATGGACTGATTGTGTGGACTGCAGTGGAGTATCGATGCTCTTTTTCCCATGCAAGGCAGATTGTGTGGAGTATGTACAAGCACCATTTTTCTTTTCACTTCAATCAAAGGTATTTGGGTTGGAGTTCATGCCACCAAAGCACCTTGAATCAAAGATATTTGCATACTATAAAAAAAACATTTGTTGTATGTAGCATCTCTCATATACAACCCCACGCAACATACCAAACAAAATCTGAGCTTAGCCTGCCTGGTATCATGCAGTCCATCAAACACACTTCTCTACTTCTTGCATTAGCTCAACCAGGCCAACCTCAACCAAGCTCCTTCATGCGATGCAAGCCAGAGCTCCCCAAGGAACCAAACAGGCCCTCGATGGATGCATGTCAACTCAATTTAGTCACGCATCTGTTTTGTTACACTCGAACATGAATTTGCAACATCATTCTCAATGCAGTCTTGAACACTAATTCAGATTGGTAACCTGATGGGATTTCAAGATGTGAAGCGCACATATGTGGGTTGAGTTTGCTGGTAGTTTTTTAGTGCTAACTAAAAATGCTTGCATATATTGATGAAATAACTGAAAATGATGTAGAAGTACTGCTTCCGTCCCATAATGTAAGACGTTTTTTAACACTAGTGTAGTGTAGTGTTGAAAAACGTCTTACATTATGAAACGGAGGGAGTACTATCCAGTGTGGCGGACGATTCTCCTGCCGCACCAGTGGCAAGCTGTGGGTTATCATGGGGTGGTGATGGCACGATCCAAACAAGCCCTTAGAATCAATCATGCGATTTTTGTTTCTGAGACCAATTCATAGCTTAGTTCTGACTATATTATCGTGAGACCATTTATCTAAATTATCTGTATAAATTTGAGTCAATTCTTGAAATATTTTGTACAAATATGCGTATGTACCTATTCATTTTCTATGACCAGATCTGTTCTGTTTGTGTCAAAAAATGAACTATATATACTTCCTCTGTCTCAAAAAAAATTGTCTTAAATTTATCTAAATACGGATGTATCAAATCACGTTTTAATATTAGTTACATCCGTACCTAGACGAATTTAAGACAAATATTTTAGCATGGAGGGAGTATTTTTTCTTTATAACTTATTTTCAAAGCTACAAAATGAACAGAGTATATTCTTAGATGCAAACTGAATATTCTACAAACTAAAAGCTAAAAGCTACAGAATTGGCCATCGTATTATAAGTTATTGCGAACACACCAAGTATAGGGTTATACAGATTACAAACTTGCCAAAAAATTGCATTATGAAAATTCATAATAAAACTATAAGAACAAACATAACCACTGTAGAGAAGCAAGCAACTAAGCTTGGGATGGCCCGAGTGGCATCTCCTCTTTCTTCTAACGACCATCGGTATTTCAAAACTACATTTTTATTCGTCACATACTATGAGTTTTGCTTGAAGCATCTTGTATGATATAAGTTTTTGCTTGTTTTGCTTTGCTTTTTAAGTCATGAATCTTTGCTGGACACACTTGTCATGCATTTTTTTTAAGTAAAAACAAGCTTGCGAAAATTAGACAAATAATTTTTAAGCATCGCTGATGCCCACCGCAATTATGACGGGCTCGGCAGAGCACGCCATACCATCTAGTATAGCTTTATTTTCGGCAAACTTATGCAACTAATATTTGAAGAACGGCATGTAATAACGAGGAAAAAAACTTCAGCCATTGGTCGGTACCCCCGCAGATGATGGTATGAGGTATCCCATACAAAGCAACTGAAGCAAGTAATGTCGGACAGCAATGTCACTCTTCACTCATATTTAATAGCAAAACTTTCGGCAAGTCATAACCGCAGAAGAGGTATGTAACCAAGCCCTCAATAGTAGCCAAACACGGGAAAAGGTGACTGCCAATCATTGGCAAAGAGACCAGGCAGATAGAGCCTAACAACCAGTGCAAAAACGCAACTCACCAAAGTTCAACCATGGAGGACAAAACAATCTATAGCATCATGAGACCGCAAACTGACTCTAAACTAAGAGATAATGCCGTCGCTCAAGGTTAGACCCGCGAGCTGGCTGGTAGGGGCATTCGGGTTTTGCTGCTGGGCCACGTTGCGGAGAACATCCATCGCCTCGGCAACCTTGGACTTGAGAGCCTCTGGAGACTCGAGCAGATGCAGCACCTCCGTCTGGTCCATCTCCAGAAGCATGCCCGTCACCTTGGCAGCTTGTTGGTGTTCAAGCTTCTCAACAAGTGGATAGAGGCTTTCGCCAAGTATCTGGATGGAAGAGATTATTTACAATATCAGAAAACTGACAGTACAAATGCACACAGAACAGCATGGGGATTTTATATCCAAACAATCGTACTAGCATGGACAGTAACGGATAGATTTAAACAACAGATACAGTTAGAAGATGATTCATTCAGACATACCGTTCTTTGTTGCTCTGGAGTAGCATTTGCAAGGGCAGATGTGAGAGTTCCAATTGGAGGAGCAGGTGACACACCAGCATCTCGCACAGGGAAGCTTCCCATGTCATATGGCTGAACCATACCTCCAACACCAACCCCAGGCATCTGTTGAACCTCAGGCATGTGACGAGGTCCAGGTGGGTACCGGTACACACGTCCCCTTGGAACCATCTGTTAAACAACAGTGATAAGATATGCAGTAAGTCACTGTACTTTCACTACTCTTTATGGCAAAAATCACTTAGCCACACAATGCCAGCACAACAAGGAATTCAACAATAAGAACAGTGGCACATTTTACTTCTTAGCAAAGAAGTGAAACAGTGGCGCATTATACTTCTTAGCAAAGAGGAAAAGACCGATTTACTTTTGCCATCAAAAATATCACGCTAACAACAGCCTCCAATAATTGATAACAAGAAATGTAAAGACACGAGAATGCATTGCAGCAAACCTGTTGCTGAAATGGCTGAGGAGTTTGCTGTCCCTGAGCAGACCCAGGACCATTGCGCCTGATACCTGGGCGCGGACCCTGCTGACCTGGTTGGACAACTGGAACAAAGTAATTTGGCATATGGGCACCACCCCCAGGCCTCATTCCTGGAACAAGCTGCTGCTGGAAACCGTACCCAGGCTACAAAAAAGTAAAGGTAGGAATATGATAAGTATAAAGCTGTTACATTTTCCAAATTCCATTTAAGTTCACCTAGGCAAATAATAAAAATTAAAATGCCAGCAGGAAGCATGCAGCATATAATAACATAATTCACAAAAATGACTACAATTTCAAGCAAAATGCCAAAATGAACAAGGCATGAAAACAAAAGTGTTCACTGTCAGCATGCCATAATTGCGGAATAAATAATCCAATGGTGTTGACAAGTGAACAACACATATTTACTTACACTGTATAGCTACATTTACTTTAACTCAAGAGTATGTTCCCAACCAAACACACAAACATCAAAAACAAATTGGATATTGAACACTGATGTTGATTCACCCCTACAAATTTGGTAGACCATTACCCCAGAAGAACATTTCCACTGACCCAACATTGCAATGCCCCCTATGAAATAGGGCGCAAACTAAAACTTAGACAGCACAAGCTACTTGTACCTCAACTTGAAAAAAATGGGAAAATGTTGCTTCTCCTGTTTTACATCAGGAAAACCTGAATGTAACACAAAGTTCAAACTGAAACTAACACGGCTTACAACAAGTACCTGAGGGGGCATCATAGCAGGTGGAGCTTGCCCATAGAAGAGTTGCTGCCCAAGAGTAGGCATAGGAGGGTACATTGGGAGTCGAGGAGTCATAGAAGGGGTCATTGGTACAGGGCGCATCTGAGAGAATTGAGCCTGAATAATATGGAATTTGTTACCATCAGCATATTTACAATGGATAATCAGAAATAAATCAACAGTAATAACTTGCACTTTCAAGAAAATACAGAAGCAGTGTTCAATCAAGTTAAATAAGAAAAAATATCAAGAGCTTAATTTAAATTTACGGTGCAGACTATGAAAGTCCCATTTTTCATGCACATCCTCAAATATTGAGCCTCCAATGTGAAAATAACGTGAAACTTAAAAAGTGAATGAAGGTAGTTCAAGTTGAACATCTTATCTAGATATACAGATGACCTGTCTTCTCTATCATAGCATCCAAAATCCAATTTATTCCATGTGATAAAAAGCAGCAATAACCATGGCATCAGTGTACTGTTATTAGTCTATCTACAGTTGTCACTATCAATAAGTACTATTTTGACATTACTATGAAAGAAACTCAGGTTATTCGAGAACTGTACCTGTAACATTGCTTTTCTATCTTCTTTACGCTGTGCAAATGCAACATATAATGGCTTTCCAGATATCATTTTGCCATTCATTTCAGTGAGCTGCGTAAACAAAGAACAAGTCAAACCATTTTGTGAATCAGAACAATTGACACAGCAATATTTGGGAAACAAACTTACAGCCTGAGATGCTTCCTCGCGGGTAGAAAATGAAACAAAGCCAGAGCCCTTGCTAACACCATTTTGATCACGCATTATCTATTAAAAAAAATTGGTCAGCAATGATCATACATCATTTAGACATAGAGCAGAGGTATGATTGCATAACATGAAAATTACCTTGCAAGAGGTAATTTTGCCAAAGTTGGAGAACAGCTCACGTAGCTGATCATCTGTAATGCCATCATCCAAATTCTTCAAGTACAAGTTCTGTCCTTGATATTTATCAGCTGCATCTTTCATGCTTTGCTCAAACCTTCTCTTCAAGTCCATCTCCCTTTCAGACTTCTTCTGAGCTCTACCAACATACCACTCTTTGTCATTGATTTTCTTTCCATTAAGTTCCTCAACAGCACGAGCAGCATCATCTGGGCTCTCAAAATTGACAAAGCCGAAACACCTGGATTTACCATCCATGCCAATCATTACAACAGCACTTGTAATAGTTCCATACTCACTGAATACTTTGACTAGATCATCTTTTGTAGTAGACTCAGATAAATTCTTCACAAAGACATTGTTAAATTTTGCCTTGTCAAAAGAATTATCTCTCTCTTGCTTGCGGAGAAAAGGTCCAACATAGACAGGCTTATCGTTGATAAGCATGCCATTTAGGCTTTTCATTGCAGACTGTGCAGACTCTTCTTTCTCATACTGAACAAATCCAAAGCCTTTGGATTGGCCAATATCATCCATGGCAACCTTACATGAGAGAATTGCACCAAATGCAGAGAAGGTGTCATGAAGAGTTTTGTTGTCAATTGTCTTGTCAAGGTTCTGGAAAAAGAAAGTTCAAAATGCTCACATCAGAGACAAGTCCAGAGAAAAACTGATTATTTTAGAGTGGCAATGCAAATTAAAAGATGAGACAGCACCTTGATAAAGATATTTGCAGATCCGCTTCTGCGGCTGCTTGGGTCACGGTTCGAGTACATTACTCGAATGGGCTTGTTGTTCAGTGGAGCAAAGTTCAGCGCTTCCATTGCTCTTGCAGCTGTCAAATGGAACTAATTAGTCAAGCAGCATAACATACTCCAGATTTTAACAACAATAATACTAGCATAGTAACAAAACAGCAATTGAATAACAACAATGCTGACAGATGATATAGTTTGATGAGGCTTAAAGCATTGTTTTTTATCAAAAACATGTATTCCATATTTAATTACCAGTTATTTACAGCATGCACCATATGCAATAGCATACTGTTACACCCCACAACATCATCGTGGATACACAAACTGTGCACACAGAATTTACCGTCCTAATGAATGAATGCTGCTCAGTGTTACTCTATCTATAACAGCTAGCCCAAGTAATAATTTAGTAGCAGCAGAAAGCCAGCTAATACCACAACTCCTAATGAATTAGGGAGACACATCAATTCTTCCCATACAGCACAGCAATTACCCTAAAACCTACATACCTAAAATACAGCAAACGAACAACCTGGCAACTAAATGATAAAAACGAATGCCAAGACTCTGCAGTATATTAGATACCACCAATGAGACTCAATTATCAACAAAAGTAATGGCTTTGCATCATTCTCTTGCATTCGTCCTATAACATGATGCATTCAAGGGGCGCTGACGTCCCTTCCATCACCAAGAACACAACAAATCCAAGTTACATTGCAAGAAACAGATTTGCGTCAGTCGATTGTACATAAATAATTTTCGCTGGCATAATCGCTTCAATTACCTACTCAATTGCGAACAAAACCAATCCTTATCCGACTAATTCAACCACAGATGTTTCATAGATGAGATTGGATCTATCTATTCAACCCCAAAAACCTCCGGCCGTCCGACCGCACCGCAATTCAACAACATCGAGGGTCACGTGACCACAAATCGCGCAGAGATGGATACGAGAGGGGAGGAGGGGATCGCCGTACCATCCATGGGGCTGCTGTAGTTGACGTAGGCGTAGCCGAGGGAGCGGCGCGAGGTGACGTCCCTGCAGACGCGGACGGAGACGACCTGGCCGGCCTGGCTGAAGAGCTCGTAGAGCTGCGAGTCGGTGACGTTGGCCTCGAGGTCGCCGACGTAGAGCGACGTGGTCGGGAGCGGCTGCGTGACCCCTCCGGGCGCCGCGGGCGCGGGCGCGGGGACCACCGCCACCGCGGCCGCCGCCGGGCCTGCGCCGCCGCCGTTCGCCACCGCCACCTGCGCTGCCATCGCGATTCCTCCTCCTTTTTTTTCGATTTTTTCCCCCGGGGAATCGGCGCTAAACCCTATCTCCTTCTCCTCGATCGGTATATAGCGAGGAGGAGGGGAGGAGCAGATCCCGCCGGGCCTCGGGGGATTTTTTTGGTTTTGCGAATTTTTTTGGGGTAGTTTTTGGTTGCGGGATACAAAGAGAGGAGGGGCCGTAGGCGGAGAACACGCGGGGGCACGACTCTCTCAACCGGGGGGGCGACGCCGACGGGGAAGAAGGTGGTTATATGGGCGCTGCGGCGCGTGCTCCTTCTTAGGGTTTGTTCCGCGGGGGATGGCGTGGGCGCGGCGTTGGTGCGCCAGCGGGGGTGGGGCGAGGTGGTGCTCCTGGACTGGGTCTACCGTGCGGGTCGACGTGGGGGGGTTCTGGACAGTTGTCCGCGTACGGACGGATTCGCCAGCCGTCTGGGTTGTTGTGCTGGGGTGGGCTGGATGGGGCTGAGGGGCTGGCTCGCGGGCTTTGGGTGGAGCCCGCCCGGTGTGCTGCTGCTTGCGAGAGAGAATGGCGCCGCGTTTGATGGGGTCTCGACCGGCCTTGACCGCTCGATTTGGGTTGGGCTGACCGGATCGTCAGCCGGGTTCGTGTCCTCCTCTCCCGTCCTACGTGACGGTACTGTTGCTTGTTGCTCAAAAAAGAAAAACGTGACGGTACAGGTTTCATCACGTGGATCGGATCCTTTCCCCTACAAAAACGTGGTTTGGAACCCTCATCGCCAATCATCAAAAATACAATTACGTGGATTGGAGAAAAATTAGCTGTGGTTTAATTGTGATGTCAACAAAAGATTTGTGGCTTAATTGTGAATCGGAGCGATTAATTCAATCAATCTCAGTCGATGTTTGCTAGTGTATGTAATGTGACGATGCCCTGTGCATTGTCGCTATTTTCTTTAATAATTGTATATATCAATGGGTGCTAGAAAATTAACTACTTCCTCCAACGGGATTAAAACTAGTACAAAAACAATTATTAGAGTGTTCTTGATTTGTGTTATAGTACTAGTTAGCATAATGCCATTTTCTAACAAGAATGTGTGAACCATGAACTACATAGGCATGTTGGAAAACAAGTAACAAGTCTTGTTTTCAACATGTTTTTCCTTCTGATCATGTTCGTGTGATATTTACCTTATGCTCAAAGGTGTGCCCAAGAGACACTTGGAAGGTGAATGATGTCGTCCAACGGACACGTGGTTGAAATCCTGATGTTCGGAATCTATGTTGACACTTCCGGGGTATGTTGGATGCTTTGTTGTGGACTTGTTCGTGTGTGGCTGTAATAGAGATGTTTCGGTGCTTTTCTATCTACTCTAGGTAGTATTTTGACATCCTTTATGTATGGATATATGTCCAGGGATGTGAAGTTTCTTTAGATATGGCAATATGTCGGGTTGATGCATATGTGTTGCATAGTGTGATGGATTATGTGTTGTATCCTAAACTTCAGATTCGTAACGCAAATGGGGATCGTGTGGCCTCTTATCTTGAAAAAAACTACATAGGTAGGCTCCAAGTATTCTACACATATACTGTATATGGCGATACTATTATTAAATCAAAAAATATCTCATGAGTGACATGCATGGCTTGCCAATGTGGCATTGTTGCATGGTTAAATTAATGCAAAAAAATGTAACTCCCAATTGGCATGTCTAAGTGTGTAAGTGGCATGGTTGCATTGGTTTTAATTTGCAATGGGTGGACTTGATTATGGAATATGTATCTTTAGTTAGTTATAGAGTTCGGTTTAATGATACCGAGACTAGGGAGATTGTTTCCACTAGAGGCCTAAGACAGGGGGGCATTATCCCCATACCTATTTTTGCTTTGTTCGGAAGGCCTCTTAAGGAAATGGCCTGACTATTTCACACTTATTATTTGTAGATGACTGATATGTCTCCGCCGTATCTATAATTTTTGATTGTTCCATGCCAATATTCTTCAACTTTTATATACTTTTGGCAACTTTTTATATTATTTTTGGGACTAACATATTGATCCAGTGCCCAGTGCCAGTTCCTGTCTGTTGCATGTTTTTTGTTTCGCAGAAACCCAATATCAAACGGAGTCCAAACGGGATAAAAACGGACGGAGATTTTTTTGGAA